TTTGTTATACTGAACTAATCATCCAGCATCACTACCAGACCTCAGTAATGTTCTCATGGCTGAATGCAATCAAATAATCACAGCAATGTTACAACATCTAGTTTTAAGTCCTCCTAGAAGTTAATTACCATAATTGTCATTATATTTATACACTACAATTTATACAGTACAACAAAATTCTTTTCTTTGCATATCCCAGCTTAAAATAGCTGGGGTCACAGCGCTGAATCACCCATGATACAGATCCCCTGGAGCAAAGAGGGTTAAATGCCTTGCTCAAAAGTGGCAACTTAGAAGATCTGAGAATTGTGTAAAAATGTTTGGATATCTTGTTGCGGATAATTTTCCACCACAGATTAAAGTTGGGTCCTACTTATGAGCTCCCATGCTTAAAATGGAATATAGCTGGATGTTATGTGGGTGCAGGAAATTAAAATTTTTTAAATCCTACATTCCATAAAAATTTGTATATGAGTTCCATTTACATATTCCACAGTCAGCTTTCAAACAGACACAGATTCATAAAGCCACACAAACACACATAACAACATAGCCTTTCTGTACCTTGGAGGCACGTGCCTGAGGCTTGAGCACTTTGTGCGTGAGCGAGTGTTGGCGGAGTTGGTGTAGCTGCAGGAACTGCAGGCCGCACTGGCTGCAAGAAAAGGAGCGCTGGGTCTGGTGTTTCAGCATGTGGTTTTGCAGCTGACTGCGGTAGGCAAAGGCCTTACTGCACTGGCCACACTGGAAAGTGGCTGGTCCTTGGTGGCTGACCTGGTGGCGCTTGAGGTGGGCATAGGTGGGGAACTCCATGCCACAGTGCGAACAGACATGGCAGCGGCCACGTTCATGCTTGACCTCATGGGCTCGCAGCTCACTGGGGTAGGCAAAGCCACGGCGACAGAAGCGGCAACTGTAGGGCTTCACGTCTGAGTGTTGTAGCATGTGCCGTTTTAGGTGGCTCGTCTGGGTGAAACCCTTCTTGCAGACAGTGCACTTGTGTGGCCGAGTGCCCTGGTGTGTCAGGAGGTGTGTCTGCAGGTGGCTGGGCTGCTTGAAGAGCTTGCCACAGTGTGGACAGGCGTGTGGCTTGATGCCATTGTGACCTAGTATGTGTGTAACTAGGTTGTACTTGGAAGTGTAAGACTTTTCACACATACGGCATTTCCAGCGCTTCAAGCCCTCACCTACATCCACGCAATATGACTCGTTAATCTGGATGTTGATGTCCAAACGGTCAATACGGCGGCCCCGTGGTGCTTCCCCTTCCACATGCTCACCCCAAAACATGCCCTGGCTGCTCTCATCAAAGTCCCCTACCCCATCCATATCACCACCCTCATAGCCAACGTCACTAGCCTGGAAGTAGCTGCTGATCTCCTCCCCTCCACCTCCGGCTTTCCCCATCCTTCCATCATCCCCTTCCTCTGGGACCTCGTCAACTCCTCCCTTCTCCTGTGTGTGGTTTCTGTCGCGGGGAGGAACCTCATGAGGTGCATGCGGGTGAGAGTGAGGGTGAGAATGAGTGTGGTGGTCAGATGGTGGGTGTGTGCTCTTGAGTTCCCGGACGCAGGTGGCGCAGCAATTGTTAGCATGAGGTTTGGGGGCAACCCGGTAGCCAGAGGGATCCATCATCTGCATGCTCTCTCTAGGTATCATGCTGTTCATCATGTGGTTGCAGGATGGGAGCCCTGGGGTTACAGACTCACCTTTGACATGTGAACCTACATCTAGGTGCCCTGTGGGGGTCTTGCCATTCTCAGATGGCCCCTGCCACCTTCGTTCAGCACAACTTGGATGCATGTGGTTGTCCTCACCGAGGTTCACGCCTAAGTAGTCACCGTTAGCACCAATAAGCTGCTCAGCATACTCATAGTCCATCCGCTCACTAGGTGGAGCAGGTGACTCTTTGGGATCTCCAGTGTAGAAACCATTCGGGGCAATGGTGGCACCAAAGACCTCATTCTGAGATATGAGGCCCAGTACAGCAGCCTGTGCCAAAGACAATACCACTACAGGGTCTGTCTGTGTCCCCACATCCATTTGCTGGTGCATAGCCTCAGAGTAACATCTGACCAGCCGCTGGGTCTTCTCCTCCTGCAACATACACACACAAACATGTTCAAATAAAAATTCAGCTGAGAGCAAACATGCTGGATTTCAGTGTTTGCTGAATATTTAACTCACATCAGTGGTGTAAAACTGAGGTCCTACACTACCTTAAATTATGGCTCTTAATTACCTACCACTATCAAGAGCATATTTTATAAAAAAGTAGTCTGTAACACATTTTTGAACAAAACTCTTCATATGTATAAATGTATATTTAAAGTAAGCAAAAGCTTAGCGTAAAACTGTAAAAAGTATCGTATCCATCCATCCATCCATCCATCCATCATCTAAACCGCTTATCCTTCTGGGTCGCGGTGGGGTGCTGGAGCCTATCCCAGCTGTCATTGGGCGGAAGGCAGGATACACCCTGGACAGGTCGCCAGTCCATCTCAGGGCAGTATCGTATCGATTAATTTTTATTACACAGTTTAATCAGAAATGCCAATTACTGTAAATATTTACATATTTAGCAGATGCTCTTATGTACACTGACTTACAGTCATCTGTTCACAGAGTAGAGTAGAATATTAATGCCTACTATTGTCTATACATTCGGCAGTAGATGCATGAGCAAATATGGGGTGCAACTTATCAGTTGTAGTTCCAATATCATACTGGGATGAGTCACTCCATGAACAGAGTGCCACTTGAGTCTACAATATTTGATGCAGTGTATAAGCAAAAACTATTTGCTAAGAAGTGTTATTTACATAATTCACAGCAGAAAACTTACATTGGAAAGTTAACCTTCACAACCAGTTTTGCCAAAAATATTCCCCTCTGTCACAAGCTCAGTATGATGGTGTTGTACTTCTCAGTGTAACTTTTCCTCCAAGAAATAAATATGGTTACTGAAATAGTTTTTTTTTTCTGTAACTGAAACTAATGAGGCCAAAAGTAGTACTTTCTTGACATATAACATCAAATTATCATGTCCATTTGGCATAATCTTGTGGAATGATTCAGATTAACAGTACTTTAATTTTATGATTAATCACCAAATAATGCACCAGCATTTAACTGCATTAGGTTACATCAGGTCGGTCATCCCTTTTGCAGCTATAACAGCTTCCACTCTTCTGGGAAGGCTTTCTACAAGATTTTGGAGTGTGTGTCTGGGAATATTTGCCCATTCTTCCAGAAGAACATTTGTGAGGTCCGACACTGATGTTGGATGAGAGGGGCTGGCTCGCACTCTTTGTTCTAGTTCACCCTACAGGTATTCGATGGTGTTGAGGTCAGGGCTCTGTGCCACACCAACCTCACCTAACCATGACTTTACTGACCTTGCTTTGTGCACTGGGGCTCAGTCATGCTGAAACAAAAAGTGCCTTCCCCAAACTATTCCCACAAAGTTGGAAGTATAAAATTAAGCAAAATGTCTCGGTATGCTGAAGCATTGAGATTTCCCTCACTGGAACTAAGGTGCCTAGACCAACTCTTGAAAAAACAACCCCAAAGCATTATCTTTCCTCCACCACACTTTACAGTTGGCACAATGCAGTCAGGCAAGTAACATTCAACTCAGACTCATTCATCAGACTGCCAGATAGAGAAACGTGATTTGTCACTCCACAGAATACGTTTCCACTACTCCACAGTCCAGTGGCAGTGTGGAGCAGTGGACCACACTGCCACTCCACTCCATCCAATGCTTGGTATTGTGCTTGGTAATATAAAGTTGCGTTCAGCTGCTCTGGCCATGAAAACCGATGCCATGAAGCTCCCGCCACACAGTTTCAAACAGCTTAATTCAATGATTAAGAGATGTGTCCCAATACTTTTGTCCATATAGTGCATATTTGAGACAGAATTGAAGATTAAGACCTAGTTCAATCAGTTAATTTAACTGAACCCCACTGCACATTGTTACAGAAAACCAGACTGTAAAGACAGATATATATCCTTTCTACTTTTGCCAATATGTTAACCTTTTCATTGCCAAAACACCTGCTAACTTCTCCTGAGTCCTCTACAAAGTACATTCCTTGCTTTTTATATTCCGACTGTCTTCACTTTTTATGAGAAGTTTAAGAACTAAAGAATGATCTCAAACTTTATTAATACCTTATGCAAACCTTGTCAAAAATACTAGGTAGGTAATACTAAAAATTAAATAGGGAAAATGACAGTGAAAGACCAAAAATGATGAAGATGGAAAAAGTGTAAGAAAGGAAGAGCGACAGAGTGCAGAAGTGATAGAGAGAACGAGGGGGGGGGCTGAGTGAGCGAGTGAGAGAAATAGAGATAGGGGGAGGGAGGGGCAGACACTGAGTGAGCAAGAGAGTGGGTGAGAGTGAGAGAGAAAAGGAGAGACAGACAGAGAGAAAGATAAATAGAAACAGACAAAAAGGGAGGGAAAAAGACAAAATGAAACATTAGATGAGAAAGTAAATCAGAGGGTGAAGAACACGAAAACACAGACTGGTGAACCAAACACATTAAAAGACTTTTTTTTTTTAAACAACATAGTGCCTGTAATTCTATCATTAAAATAGGTCAATTCAGTGTCTTCCAAGAGAACAATCCTTTACATTACACAATAAAGAGTACACGCACACAGCCAGATTATGCTCTATGAGGGTTTCCTACGTGCAGTATAAGGAACTCACCACATTCTTCTTGGTTTGGGGTTTGAGATGTTTCAGAGATCTCATCCTGAAGCAGAGGTTCACAGTCACCTTCTGGCCGTCCTGCTCTTCACACTCTACTGTTGTCTGTAGCTACACTGGCTCTAACAACACACAAACACACACACTCCCTCTTTCCCTTTTCTGTGTGTTGTTGTTCTCCCTCTCTGTTCTTTCTGTGAGCTCTTTTTTCCTCTCTCTCTCCCCTCCCCTTCTGTCAGACTCTCTCTCCTATGTGCTTGCTCTAATTTCCCTCCCTCTCTCACTCTCTCTCTCTCTTTCTCTCTCTCTCCCTCTCTCTTCCCCTCCCCCATCCCTCTCTACCTCTTTCTGGCGCAAGAACGCACATGCACACACACACTCTCAGTGCCCCTCTAACATAGAGGCATTCTTTCATTCTTTTTCATTCTCTCTCTCTCTCTCTGCCTCACGCACACACACACACACACACACACACACACACACAGACACAATTGTAATACTAACATAAAAACACTGTTATATGACCGGTATGTCCAAAACATTATAAACACCCGTCCTAGTACTAGAGTAAGAGGAGCAGAGACAAAGAATGAAAGGGAAAGGAGAGGAAGACAAGATTCTTTTGGGGGGGGTATAACAAAATGTAGGGGAAAAAGGGATAGGGAGAGTGAATGAGCGAGTGAGGAGATAATATAAGGACATATCATTATGAGCAAAATAATAAAAAAGAAAGGATTAAGAAAGATGAAGAGGACAGATAGATGTGATGATGAAAAGATCGCTACTGTCAGGGAGGGACATTGTTCAATGTGTGTGCGCACATGGAGATTTTCTTTCACTGTGCCACCTGTATTGAGTGTGCACTGAGCATGGACAGTTATCAGCTGATGTCCCACCTCTCCCACTTTTACACATACAAAGAAACACACTATGTACAGCTACAGCTTAAATCCAGCAGGGACAAACAAAATATGAAGTAACTACCATTAACTAAACATGTACAATGTGCTTACTTTTGATAACCTTACTGTATTTATTACTTCTTATGCATTGCTCATTCTCTCTTATTGGATTACATCTGTATTCACATGCAACTTGTAGAACTGAATAACTTGCATAAATGCAAAACAAAGCATTGCATGTAGTTTTCCATATACTTGAAATGTTACCATACACTGCTTATATTTTCACAGGCTTTAGTCAAACAAACAATGTGGCAATATGTAAACAAGATTAGCATTATCATTGTTAGTATTAATTATTATTAATATTTGGTAGTAGGTGTAGAATAATTGTGGTTACACCTCTGGAGAAAATGGCTGAGAGAGAGGGGGATTCAGGAAGAAGAGAAAATGGACGGATGAGGGAGGAGAAGAAAAGGCTTCACCAGTGAGGAGAGAGAGAGGGAGGGAGGTAGAGCAAGAGAGCAAATAGAGAGAGACGGAAAGAAGGAGAGCAAATGGAGAGAGAGCAAGAAAGAGAGAGAGGGGAGGGGATACAGAGAACAAGAGGGGAGGGGAGAGAGAGACAGGAAAGAGAGTGAGAGGGAGAAAAAGAGAGGAGAGCAAAGGGTTAGAGGAGAAGAAAGAAGTGGGGGAGGGGAGGGACATAGAAACCAAAGGGGTGGGAGAGAAAGAGAGAGAGAGAGAAAGAAAGAGAGAGAGAAACACAGCGAGAGCGAGCAATGATTAAGAGAAATAGTGAGAGATGGAGGAAAGGAGAGATAGAATAACAAGAAAGAATCAGGGGGAAAAATGCATTATCAAAGAGTAAAGAGTAAAAAAAAGGAAGAGAGGGAGGGAGAAAGTGTCACAGAGAAACAAAACACAGATAATACAGAAACAACAGAGAGACTAGTTTTGAGGAGTGTAAGTATTTAAACAATACAGTTCAAACAGTACAGTCCATATGGTACTATCATCTCACAAATAATAATTATGATATTCACGTATCCATAACAGTTCATAATCATATATTCGATTAACCGCAGGGGGAATTTTTTTTTTTCTCCTGGTAATGTTATTATGATACACATACACAGTAAACTGGTGCACTAGTGCTAGGAGGATAAAAACTACATTAACACTAGGACTAACCGGTGCAGTTCTAAATGGCTGTTTGTGTTTTTGCTGTCTTTATTTTTGTTTTTCATCTAATGTTTCATTTTGTCTTTCATTTTGTTATTTTCCCATTTTGTCATTTTGTTATTTTTGGCCATCACTTTGTTTTCAGAAAGGCTGTGTTGCTGAAGAGATGTTCATATTTGCAAACATTCCCTTACATTTTAAAGTTCTAATTAAAGTCATAATAAGTCATAATGAATTATTGTTTATTGCTTAGTTATAGTTTGTAATGCCATGTGTTGGAACCCATGGTGTCAAAGTTCATCACCAGATGTTTTGTACACACTGGCTATGTTTCAGAATAAGCATAATATCACTATGCCTGTAATACTGTTGTTATGTTTTAGTACTGACATGTAAATCATATCATATATCATGACAATTTTATAACCCTAACTGTAGGCATACTTATCCAAAAAGTTAGACCTCAAGTTGCAGACTTTAAGTATGCAAAAGAATCATTAAATTATACATGACAAGATATTAAGTATTCTATCTTTGTCTCTTCTTATGATGTGTATTTTGCTCCCTGATTACCTAATCAAGAACAGCCTTGCACTTGAGGGCAATACTCCCTATGATACAATAGCTATCAAAATGCTAACAATTGATGAAAGCTGGTAAAAATGAGTTAGCATTATCCTACATTTTCGGCCTGGGTTGGTATGATGGTTGAACCAAATACCAGTCAATTTATTGCTAATGTATTACTGATAAAGAACATTTGCTATGTATATTATAATCTATAAACCAGTGGAGGTGTGCAGCAGCCTATCAAATGACACTGCAGAAAATCTACAAAATGTTTGGCTGTTTACAGGAAATTCAAGCAGTAATTTATAATGGCACTTGGCACCTCAACCGTCATTAAGAATACAAAAATCTATGAAAATGCATGATTATGCACATTGTAAATACCCTCTTTTCTACTATGCTGCATGCCATCTCTATGCTACAGACTGAACTGATGAGGCAGAGCAGAGACAAAAATATAACATTAATAATCAGAAAGATTCTGTCTTTTTGACTCCAGTACTAGTGACTTGATTTCAATGCAGTGTCAGTGAGCTGGAATTCCTGGTGGTTTAGCCTTCTCACCAAGCTAACATTAGCCTCTGGCTAATAGGATATAAATATAAATATATAAATATATATAAATGAAAAAAGTAGCTTAATAGCTTCACACAAAAAAACAGGTTTATCTGCTCAGATCAGAATATTTATTATTAAACTGTCAGTGAGGTTTCAATGAGCCGGAATGAACCTGCGCAGTTTCTCTAGCCTTCTCGCTAGGATAATATTAGCTTTGTGGTCAAATGTAGAGCAAACATAGCTTAGGCTAACAGCTCCACACAGTATGGCACAGGTTTACTCACTGAGATTTCAGTCTTTATGCTCAAAACTGGCATCAGAGAGGCTTCAGTGAACCGGAATAAACCTATACTGTGGTGAAAGATGCTAAGCTACTGCAGCAGTATGCTACCCCCTTAAAACATTGCCAGGCGCCGGTGCTAGCATCTTAGCATTAGAACGACCAAGAATGCAAGAATGCACTATGCTTGCAGTCAGAAAATGCTTTTATATTAAGTAATCGGGCCAAAACCATTGCAAACACACTTTACAAATGAATGCAGTTTTGTTTAACAACAAGCTCGGAAGACCACCAACTGTCTAAAAATCTTTAATTTCAAGTTCTCTTCATCAGCCAAACGACTAAAAAATTATAAACGCAATGCCGATGTACTTAGTTGGCTCATATTATATATGCTATAAAATTGCAACTCAGATCATCTAAAATAATCTAAACAAAGATTAAGCAATAAACAGTTGCAAAAAGTACTGCTACTATTAAACACTACCCAAAACGTCAGTTACCTAAAGTTCATAAGTTTAAAAGCTACAGTAACATTCTGGTTGTGTGGGCACTGTGTGATGTTCCTGCACAGCTCAGCTGGCAATTTCACTGGCACCTTATTCTACATACATGCAAAGCAAATGACAAAGGGATGTGACTTCCATTACAATAATTAGTATTCACCCTTGCTGGAGCAGTTCATAGCAGTGCACTCCCCTGTGCATGTTCAACATTACTTTTGTTGTTGGGGAGATACTGCTACCACTTAGATAAAACCTTTTTTCCCCATAATTGCTGCTCGCCACCTGTACATCCAAATAAGAATAGGGCTGAGAGTCTGATCTTTGAATATTTCCATTTGCCCAATATAAATTGTTTCTAAGTAGGCAAACATTACACTATAAATGAAAAAATATGAGTGCACACATCAACTGAATTCTGTGTTAATGCAAAAAAAAAAAGATCTTAAATACTGTTCTTGTATAAACTGCGGAACATAGTACTGAGTCCGGAATCCACATCCTACACTTGTCCTCTTGTATCTATGATTTAGGAAATGGATCAAATTTCACTTCCCACATCCAAACTCTCAGAATATTGCTGTTAAATTCTGAAAACATGTCAGATGCATCGTGACATTCCCAAGTTGCTGAGAGGGGTTTAATGAAAAGTGCAATATAACTGATTGGCTTCAATTTTAAAGTGCATCCACATTTTTGGGATATTTTTGAAAAATCCAGTTTTCTCCCACTTCAGAGCAATGACTAACAAGACATACTTTGCAGAAAGTAGTAGAGTAAAAAGTAGGATATTTTACTTTGAAATGTTGTAGAGTGAAGGTAAAAGTCTCAAATAGAAGCACTTCAATAATACTTGAAAAACTACTGAAGTATATTATCAAAGTATGTGTGATACAGCATGACTGTCCAAGCTTACCTGTGAATGGTAAGGATTTCACTTGTTAAATCAGTCCATCTCAGTCTTCAAACACATGGTCTTCTGATTTGTTGGAAGAAAACTTGCCATCACACTGGCCCTTTGCAGATAAGATTGAAAGACTGATATACAGTGCCTTTCAAGTCACCAGATTCGCCTGGATTACAAATGACAAACAGTTTGTTCTAGCCAGTATACTTATTGCAAACCAATATGCTCTTAAAGTAAATGTTCAAAGTTAAAATTCATTATTTGTCAGTAAATCTGCAAAAGAAATTAAAAACTGAAAAATGCTGCTTCCAAAAGTATTTAATCAAGGGTGTCGCTAGGCCTGTTATTTAGCCCCACCTATCCAGTGGAAGTAGACTGATAACTCTGGCCAAGGGTCTTCAAGAAGTAAAATCAGGACGGGTAAGATTGAGCTTCACAGTGGCCATCCTCTGCTGTGTAGCGTTGGGGAAAAATGTAATGGCAGCTCAGCCAATCGTTATCAGACCTCGTAAGCTGTAAGCCAAATAGACCTGGGAAAGGGTCTCTGGTGCTACTCACTTTGTGAAGTAACATCAGACGACAATCGCTGAAGTTGTGACAGGATTTTAGCTGAAAGCATAGTAAATTAAAGATTAGGCCTCATTCAAAATATATAATATACAGTCCGACTCTGTTAGGTAGTTGCTTGTTAGCTAGCTAACTTTAAGCTCCTGTGAGGTAAAGAACTGCTTGACTTTAACACCTCTGTTTGATCTGTGATCTATGTAGGTGGACAGATATTGTATTGAAGCTGTAAAAGATCTATGCTTAATACACCATGAAGAAACACATCTTCTGTACGCCAACTTTACTAAATAGACATTTTTTGATACATTTTCACCTATTGCTACTCTACAAGTACATGATAAACAGATATTTTGGGGCCATTAAAAACATGCTACTGGGGGAGTATGCCTGGACCCTCTTAATAAAGCCTCAGCCCCCCATCCTTAAGTCTCTAGTGACGCCCCTGTATTCAACCCCTTCAGAATAGTACTACAACCACCTGCCAGAAAAACAACTTTAAATCTGTTTGGGTAAGATTTTACCAGCTTTACACACTGTTTAGGAGTGATTTTCACCCATTCTTCCTGCCAGATTTGCTCCAGGTTGTTAAATGACACTTGTGGACTGCGATTTTCAAATAAGGCCACAGACTGAGAGCTAGACTTTGACTTGACCCATGTAAAATATTCACCTTTCTGTTGTTCACACCTGTGTCGCTTTGGCTAAAAGGTGAAATTTCTCCTAAAGGAGTTTTGAGTAGACTGAAGCAAGTTGTCTTGCAGTATCTCTTTCATCTGTGTAAAAATGAAGATTTCACAGCACAAGGGTTAAATACTTGTGCAAACAGCATTTTTAGTTAGTTTTCCTACACAATATTTTCTTCACTTTAAATTCATTTATTATTTAAATTAATTAATTTAATTAATTAATAGTCTTCTAAAATAAAACATGTACAGGACTTAATACTTTTGCAAGGCACTGTATATCTTGATATTTACGCATTTTCTGAAATGACTTAAAAGAGTGATTTTTAAATTGGGAGAGCCATAATTTGGTCTAAACAACGTTTATTAATCACAGTGAGACTTGGAAGTAAACAAAATGTTGCCAAGCACCTTTAAAAATGTTAACCACAATAAGACAAATAACAAAAAATACCAAAAAAAAAATGTTTAGTGTTCAGACAAAACCAGGGTTTTTCAGTTATTTAACATAGATACTGTAGGGGATACTGTTTGAGGTGTTAAAGGAGGGTTTCAGATACTAAATCTTTACCCCCCAAGGTATGCTCTGTCAGCATTTCTAGCAGACACTGTTAGCTATAGCAGTTTAAGGTGGTAGAAAAATGCAGAGATAGGAGCCTTGCATGTATTCTCACCTAAACCAGGACTTAAACCCGCCTGTGTGTGACGCAGTGTTACCACTGTACTTTTCGGCCACTTTATGTGCATTACATTATTGCTTGAGGTTTCCATTTTGCTATCCTGTTCATACTTAGGAGACAAGGCATTGGGTCACTGCCATTGTCTTCAGGGAGTTGAACTGCTTGCATAAAATGCACATAATAAGACACAATAAGATCTCCACAATATTTGCAACATTGCCTAATTTTGTACCTCCAAAAATATAACCGCATATATATATATATCGCAAATATTTGATACATCACCCAGCCCTAACTGCAAGTTAGCAACATTTTGTCCCTAACTGGAGATAACACCGGCCATTAGAATTTTAAATGGTAAAAAATATAACAGACTCCAGTGAATTTACTAACAGACGCACCAAAATCTGACAAAAACCCTTGTGTGGTGTTCGGGTCTGTGGGACCCATTTTTAATGTGTACTGCCATACAAGTAAGCTAGTAACACCTTAGCATCCACCTGAGATATCATAGCAATGGCCTAGCAACACCTTAGCAACCGCCAAACAACAAAAACAAGCTGGAATATGATAGCAACCTCATTTCAACAGCATAACAACTAACTGGAATGATTAACTCTTTTACTGCTTAGTAATGTAATTTTTGTGCAAGCACAAAGTCATGTGTAGAGAGTGCCTGATGTCACTTATGAGAGACTGTTCACAGAGCAGCTGGACTCAAAATAAACATCAGTGTTCAAAGCATTTTAGCTCTGGTCCCATTTAAAAAATCCCCAAAAATCTAGGGAATATTTACAAGCAAAACTGTATTTGTAAAAAGGATTTCAGATATTTAGTATCATCACCTATAGTTTATTTTAGGCAACTGAAGTTAGTTAGCTTAAAAGCATCCATGGGATATCTAACATTACTTACTTCCTATAAAGGTGATTCATGTGCGTGACGTTTAGGCCCAATCCCGTTTCTCCCCTTGCCCCTACCACTTAACCCTTACCCCTCTGTACATTCATGCCTAGGATTGGGGTGTCCCAATTTTTTTTTTTTTCGCAAACGAGGGGTAGGGCGAAGTGTTTTGGCTACACAGCCCTGCAAAGGGAGGTTTTTCAAAGGTACACTCCAAACAGAGTGTTATGAGAAAAAAAACAAACACCGGCAAGATGGAGGCGCAATTGATCAAATAAACCCACAAATGTAAGTATTTTCTCCATAAAAAATAACGATAATGGTTGTATTACCTTAGTTTAATGTTGTTTCAATGTATTATGGTCCTTTTCTTCATAACAAGCACAATAAATTGTGAGTAGTATGCTGATGTCTTGGTAGCTAGGTAGCTAAATTTCCCATTCCACATTAAATGGTGCAGCAGTTCTGATGCCTGAGGTGCCAGAATGTAACCATTGAGGCGGAACGAGAAAATCTGAACAAGAAGCTAGCGAATAGCTGACTTCAGCTTTGTATCACTTAAGATTTAGGGGTGGGCAGTGTCACATCCCTGCCTCTTTGAAGGCATATGACTCCCTAAATTTATCTAAAGAACAGCAGCGAGGTTGCTGAACTTTACCACTGAAGTCAGCTTCTTGTTCAAATTTTCCAGTTCCACCTTAAATGGTGCAGCAGTTACATTCTGGCAGTTCAGGCACCATTTAAGGTGGGACCACCGGCACCAATGAACATCTACTCTCTGCCGAGCACTCACTCTCTCAGTTGATCATTTTTAAGGGAGAAAATTAACTGTTCCTCTGAAAAGTGGCTGTAGCAGCAGCTTGTTTTCCTCTGTTCATCGCCAGCTGACAAACCACTGAAACTGAGATAAGGCTGTTTTCACTTCAAACTTAATACTTGAGTGATGTGTGCATGCTCTACTCACCATTGTTGCTACTGTAATTGCTTTAGCAGAAGCAGCACTGCCCTGCAACGAATACTTCCTGCAGCAAAAAATGTGGAAATGTGAAAAGAGCCATTTGGGCCTTCGTCTCAGTGGCTACAGCTTATTTTAACCAACCAGAGCCAGCCCGTTAGCTTGTAAGCATTACTAGCTGCAACTATCTAACATTGCTTATGATCTGTGACTGTGATTCATGCAAATGCATTGCTTTCTCTGACAAGCTAAATCATAAAACTCTATCTATGAAAGTTTATATTCTAACATTTAGTCAGCTACAGCTTACTTTAGCCAACCAAATCTAGAGTTGGTCAGAGTGAATTAGCTAGCTGGCATTCATAATTAGCTACTACTTTTATTTCTTTACTTATGATGAAGCTTCATGAAGAACAGGATAGGTTTTGCCCCCAACAGAAGTATTCGGTGGTGTTACGGACTTATCATTATGTTCTGCTATTTTTGTTTGCCTTTATGAAGACTGAGAATAGGGCGGAGTGAAGGGGAGTGTCTATTTGTCTGTGTCATTCACGTGACCTTTTCCTTGCAGCGTCCACATTAATGACAGCCTTCCATTCCTGGTGGATAATTGATAGATAACAAATATTAGTTCTGAATAACAATATGTTAAAGTACTGTGGTATGACCTTATGTTACAATGCCATTTTAAATCACTATGGATAAAAGCATCTACTAAAAAAATTAAAAGTAGGCTACTGATGCCTGATGCTTTATCGCTGGATGGGCAAATGGTAGGAATTTAAGGGAGGAAAAAAAAGCTCTATGTTAACAGGAGATAGAATAAGTGACGTTATGTATGATTAATATAAAAACTGATGCCATTACCATAGTGCCAACATTAGGTAAATAAGGCAGCAAACTGTGTAAACCAGTCACAGTGTTATGCATGGTGATTGTATTGATCAGCATGGTTAGTTTTGATGGCTTTTGCATAGTAAACATTAATATTAGTGACATTAGTCAAAACACTCCAGTAATTGAACAATTCATGCTGGTTACACAGGAATATAGTAAAATTTTTCACTTCTGTTTTCTGATAGCTGTTCTCACATCAAACTGCACAGCACAGAGAATACATTTTAATTTTCCTGGTCACAAAATTGGAGACACATTCATATAATGACATTGAGACAATTGTCCAAGTTGGGCCATTTTGTAAAATGCAATAAAAACGAATCTGTGATTTGTTAATTCTCTTGAAACTTACAAAGTATAAAAGTACAAAGAAATAACTTTGTTTAACTTTGTTTTGGCAGACCAACTTGATTGTATTTTGTGAATATAAACAAAATTTGAATGTAATGCCTGCAACACACTCCAAAAAATCGGGATCAGG